AATTAAATTAACTATAAAAAATTATCCCAAAAGTTCACGAGAATATGTTTATTTAGTTCATCAGAGGTGTTTCGACAACACCGTGTCTTTATCAAATGTAATAATTTAACTTTATCTGCTGCTATATACGGGGTGGTTAAAAATGAAATTTATATAAACGTTGGGTCTCAAAGTCCATTAAGGAGACATCATTTTACAAATATGGCTGAAAAATATTGATTTTTTCTTGAAAACAAAATATTAGGGAAGTAGGGAATAGCAACACAATTTCTGAATTTTATTTTTGTTTTTTTTTTGACTTAACTTAAAGGGATTAAATTTGAATTCTCTTATCGACTTCTTAAGCAAATTCAAAGGAAAACTTATGGAATGACATACCAAATATATTTTTTATTTTTAAGAAATGCTTGTTTACTGTAATATTTCATATTAGTTGCCGTTTCCAAATAAAAATCTGAATCAATGCAAAATTTATTGGGTAAAAAAATCTCCTCCTCTGCTTTCACTTCTTAACGCGTTTATTATTATTGCTTTATTTGACATGGATACAAAATATGACTAATTAGTTGACAGCACCCGAGCACCATTCATCCGCCACTAACATTTTTTTTCGACATGCAATGCTTTAGATTCTATTATTTTATTTAGAAACTGTAAGCTGAAGGAGGCTAAAAAATTTCTAATAAATCCGTCCAACAAAATATTTTTTTTTCGTAAGCGTAAGAAATTTAATAAGTATACGTGAATTATTTGTTTGTTAATATCCATAGCTTCTAATAAGTTTTAATTTTATATACAGTCTATAGATCATACTTCGATATAAGCTTTGATACTATCCACTGGGTTCTTCTATGTATGTAAGAAAGTATCAAGAAATCTCTCGAAGTGTGCTATAAAGGTGGAAACACAATCAGGACTCTATAGGTTAAAGTGCCGACCAAAATTTATATTGGACACATACTCCATGCGACCACCATTCATTTCCAACTAGTTGTAAGAGTGTATTGCTTGAATGCAGTATCCATTGCTACTATTGTTTGAACAATAGCTAAAAACCGTAATTAAATTACATTATGTCCTTTTATTTCGGACGAATTCCATTTGAACTAGACTTTTAGTGGGTATTCTTATAAACGCAGTCTCGTTGTTTTCACACGTTGGTTACGTAATAGGCTAGCGGAAAAATTACCGACTTACAAGATTTTTAGGCGTTTACCGCTTGATACAATCTATCCGTCGTAAAACTCCAGTATTACACAAGTTAAACACCGGTGCGACAATTTCAAAATATGAAGCTTTTGATGATGGTGAATTCACCATTATTCATTTTTCTACATTTTACGTTGTCATAAAAATATGACCAAACGCGTGAAAAATTTTTTCATAGAATATGGTTGCAATATGGTGCAACAGGTTTGATAGACCCCACTTTAGTCAAGAGCACGAACGGCACGGTGGACTAAAGAAATCTATCAATGTGGTGCATACTATGATTTTTTACGATTATTACTGGATACATTTTTGCGAAAAAGCGCGAATTAGTGATATGTGACGGGAACATCAGAAACGACAAAAATAAATTTTACTGAAAATATCCGGTCGGTCCCAAAATAGTGACTAAAATACCGAAAACATCCAAAATAGTTAATGAAGCTGACACCTTAAAAAAGATCAACATAAAATATTTTTAGTTATATAAGGTGAATCAAAAAATGATAATTAAATTTAAATCTGTTGTGACCTTAGCGCGAATTCATTTTTTTCCATAATTACCATATTTTAGCAATGGCTCTTGGCACATATATATATATATATATATATATATATATATATATATATATATATATATATATATATATATATATATATATATATACGTATATGTATATATATATTTATATATATATATATATATATATATATATATATATATATATATATATATATATATATATATATATATATATATATATATATATATATATATATATATATATATATATATATATATATATATATATATATATATATATATATATATATATATATATATATATATATATATATATATATATATATATATATATATATATATATATATATATATATATATATATATATATATATATATGTATTCCTTTTTCGCAGGAGTTAAAACTCTGTCTATTAAAAAGTTTAAAAAAGATTAAGATATTTTTATCTAACAGTGCATTTAACTCTGGGTCAGGATTTTTCTATGCCGTCAAATAAAAATCTTTCAATACTTTCAATTTATTTCGTTTGTTTATTTAAATCCGATATTGTTTCCATTCTTAAATACAATCATCCTTAAATACTATCATGGATCCGCCCAAAGCTAATTTATAAATGGTATTAAAATCCCAGTTACTGAAGAATTTAAAAGCATGGGTATAATCTTTAATAATAAAATTAGATTTCCTAATACAGATTTCCAAAGTTTTCCGAAAAGCTTGAAGTTAACAAAAATTCTGGGTGAAGTACTGTTATCTAAGTCATCTAAATTACTCTAATTTTGTCCATGGGCCTTGCTTGGCTGTTTGGACGAAATATAAATGACCAAAAGTGCAGGTCTCCTGTATTCGATTTGTTTAAAACCTTTAACCAAGGGATTACTTCACTATATAAAATAGTTTGGTTGTTTTCTTCACAAACTACTAAACAGTGGATGTTCTTCAAATAACTCGTAGAAATTGTATTAAATTTCGCGGAACTTGTTTTAACTGTCAGTATAAAAGACTCAAAATGACTAAAACCTCCCTCTCGTATATATCTGTTAGATACTGTAGTATACTTCATCAATACCTCAAATTAGTGAAGAACTGAATATCTCTCTTTGCGCGTTTAATTTTCATTTTAGAAACATATTTTAGTGAAAATACCTAGATAATGAAGAATTTTGCTTGGCGTAATATTATCATTACGCGTCTTTTTTGTTTTAGGCTCGATTTGTATATTTGTAAAATTGTTATACTAAATTAAGTTCGGCCGACCTTCGCCGAGCTTAAAATTAAGGTGGTTTTATTAATTTATTGTTCCTTTATACTCGTTTTTTGTAATGTCGCGAAACTAAATATCTCTCTGTTTATTTATCTTTCTATTTTGTTACAATCTAAATAGAAGAGCAATTTTTATAACAGGAAAATATCAAAAATTACACTTTATATAAATTATTAAGTTCAAATTATAGTATTTCGAGTATGTAAAATCTATTAACCACAGGTATTGCATAAGAATTCGGGACAATCAGAAACGGTACTTCGATAAAATTTGGGTAAAAATAAAAGTACGGAAAGGCTTTTAGTAAATGGAATGATCGGCGAAACGTAATATTAAGTTCGCGAACTTGTTCTGCACTTGCAGCTGCCGGTACCGTTATATCCCGTGAAGCAATGCAAGAAATTAAAGAATTTAACTTCCCATTTTCTAAATGACCCGCAAATTTGATGTACATATTTTTCAAACGACGGTAATACAAATTACTTGAATAATATTTGCTGCTAGTTTAATGTTGAGCTATTAGAGTCAGGTTTTTTCTCTATTTATAGTTATTAAAAATATGTCCGAATGGGTTCAGTTCAGGTAGTACCACCCAAGTTTGGGTCAATTTCCATGATCCCGCATTTAATTTAATAGCGGATTGCCTTTTGCCAATTTTCTGGTGTCACTTCTTAAATGACTCGTTCAGTAGTTTGAGGCCTATCATTTTGAATATCGCGTTGTGTCTTGCTGCAAATACTTTCGCTATGCCGATTTGTCCAGCACAGTTACATTTTTTTTGTGATATGATAATTGTCAAGTTGACTCATCTGTGTGTTAGTGTTTAAAATAAGAAATGAATGAAACGCATTTTCGTTACGAAAAAACTCAAAACAGAAAATCACTTTTATTAAAAAAATACGAAATTATCTGCAAACGACCACGACATTTGAGAGCAGCTAGACAGTTTCGAAAGGAAATCGGGAACATCTATTATTTGGACGAAAAATGTAAAAAGCGAGAGGCAAATTTGAAGCTCTATTGGAATAAAAGTTCCGTTGGAAAAAGATTAATTGCTAGCAGGAGTAGATTTTTCGGTGGGGACTTATTAGGCATTTCAGTCACTGGAGACTATCATAAAGCCTGATTGCTGATATTTTTGACTACTTCCAGCAGATCTTATCAAGTGCCGATCTGTTATAGTCATGGACAATTCATTCATTATCTTACTGTAAATAACAATAATTTAATAATAATTTTAGAAATACTTGTTGAAAAAGGGGCTACTGAAGATAAACTTGAATAAATTTCTTTGTACGACAGAAAACACTGTAGAGTCCATTATAGTTTCTCTGGATTTTAATGACTGTAGTTTATCTAACTACTCAGGACATGATGCCTAGATTTTTGAAATGAAGTTGTATTTTAAATAGCAGATTTTTTTTAAATAATAATATTTATTACAATTTATCTATTTTCATATTATTCTTACTTTCCATTGTCTCAAAAATAAGTTTGAACCAATTTAGACGGATTTTAAAAAACTTATTGCAATTTATTTGAACTTAAACATATTACCTTTAAGTTGTCTACACCTTATACACAATTAGATAACAATTAATCTAATCCAGCATCACTGTGCAATTGCAATTGCAATTGCACCCTAATGCAAGTACTTAATCGTGGGGATATCCTCCGAGAGGCTCTGGGCGTTGAATTAAAGGACAACGCAAGATATGCAAAGCTAATATTTTAGTTTAACTTGGTTTAATTGCAGTTAATTATTTAGTCATAATTTGTATTTCTCTGCATATGTCTCTGGTTATTTTTATTCTTTAATCATTAACCATATTTTACGTTCCCTTATAATAACTAACAACAATAATGACAGCGTATTAAATTTGTTTGGGAGTAGGAAGTAAAGCCAGTTTTTAAAATTAACAGAACACGGTACTAACGCTGACTTGGTAGACATTAATTAATTAATGTTTTATTTATTTCAGGAGGAAATGGTACCGAGCTGTTCCATTTTGGTTCATAGATGGGAGTAGAGGAATTCCTATGCAAGGCGTCGTGGTTTCTGGCGCTGCTCGCAATGGCGCAACCTTTAGATCATATAGAGATCATTCGCGTGACCAGGCATAACAGCGGAGATATTTTTACCACTAACAGAGGTGCGATAAACTGTAGTGCGTTTTATATAGACAATTGCGCGTCTGCGCCTAATACGGTAGACCCTAAGACTACTACACACTCATCAGCAGTTTACGGACATAATCATCAAATCGGATATCAGCTCGTAATCGATCAAACAGAATTCATGCATGTTATTAATTTTTCTGCAAATTACGAATCCGAGAATCTATAAAAATCTCTAAACAACCAAACAATCCTAACCGCGACTCAATTCTTTATCTTTTACCAATCTGGGAATCAGTAATCCAAGATCATGTTCACTTCCCTCCTTTAGCTCCGTCTTCCATAATCCAGAAAAATTGAAAATAGTATTACATAAACTTTTTCAAACAATTTTTTAAGAAAACCAAAAATCAAATCATGTTTCACTACATTCGCATTTCCAAAAACTATCGATGTTAACATACTCGTACTATTGCCAAAACATTTAAGAAATCGTAAATAACAAGAAACAAAATTGATCAATACATCTAATATATAATTCATTTGTATGTATAGAAATAACGCATATCAAATATCAAAATCAAAACTCAATTGCAATAAATAATTCAAGTTGTGACCCCCAGGCTATTCCCTTTAGACGACATTAAACGCGCAGGAATGATGGTGACGTCATACCGCTGTTATAGTGTTATTCTCAGGTTATAGTCCGAGAATTATATTATTTAGGTTTTTTTTTGGCTGGTGTAAAGGTATGTTTGTATTCAATATACGCCAGTTTTTATTTGTGCTTAGTGTACTTTTCATGATAATAATGGAAGCAACACAAAAACAATATTACAAATCGTGTTTGAGTACAACCCGTAAAACGCCAGATAAACTTTTTATTCGTCTATCAGAAAATAAAAGCCGTCGTTTTTTGTTAACATTATGTTCAGGTGTGACTGTAGCATTAACCGTGCAAACATTTTTAACTGGTTGAACTTGCACTTATCCTATTGCAGTCTCCAAAAAAAAGTGCATCCTAATCTATATAAAATAAAGACTACTTTAAGTTATCAATGCCAATATACTTTAAAATCGGTGTTGAGGTATTGGTATTAAAAGGGGCGCCCCCGCTGGCGTCCAAGCATTTAGGGCACCAGATGGGCCCGTTGTGCCCCCAGACCGCGCTGGAGGGCGCCCAGAATGCCGCCCCTCCTATAGAAGGTCAGCAACTCCTTTAGCCCAATACCGTGCACTGAGTCCGGATTCCTCAGGGCCGTTCCGAAGGCTTCATATCTTGCCCAGGGCGCAGAGCGCTTGGTGAGCAGATGATTCGGGGTCTCCTCCCCTTTCATGTACCACCTGTACTCCGGGTCGTCTCCAGTGCCTGCAATATCCTGTGCAGCTCCCTGGTCCGAGGGAGGGTGGGACCATCCATCATAAGCTTCGCCTGCCTCATTCCCGGAACAACTCTCCAGCCCTCTGCAGCCCGTTCTCTCACCCAGGCTTCAAGAGCTCCCCGCCTCACGCAAGGGACGATCCCCAAGTAGGTCTCTGGTTCCATATGCCTATGCGAGGAGCCCTCCCTGGCTAAGGCATCCGCTGCCTCATTGCTCCGGATCCCGCCATAAGTGCGGCGCTACTATCAGAGCAGAAGAATACTCTCCTGCTTCCGTCGTTGAGCTAAAGCACCTCTCTGGCCGCCATCAATTTAGCGAAAATTTCCGCCTGAAACACAGTGCAGTACTAACCCAGAGGGTCCGACAAGCTCGCAGCACGCTCCAGCTCCGGCCAAATCTCCCATTCTGGACCTGTCCATGTACCAGACAAGTCCATCCCAGGAGCCAACTCTGGCCTCTCTCCACTCTTCCCTTGATGGGAAGGGAAAGGTCCATTTGTCAAAGAAGATGATCTTGGGGATCATGACGTCACTTGGCATGCCCATGACACCGCGATCCCTGTTCCAGCACTCCAGCATGTCGTACGGGCCTCTATTGAAGGTGCCTTCTCTCCAGAGCCCGCAGCTCGCTAGCCGTCCTGGCCGCCTCCATCCGCACCCGATCCGCCAGAGAGCCTCTAGGGCCCTCGTGGGTGCCATCCTCATGGCGCCCGTTATGCAGAGGCAAGCCAATTCACCGACCACCATGCGACTGCCCCATGCGTGAGCCTAGGCACCACCATGGTACCGTTGATCCACTGCATGATCTTTGGCCCCAGGCCCCAAGTGCCCCTACCGCTCTCCGGCACGCCCGCAGAGCTCCAAAAGTCGGCCTGGTCCTTGATCTTATATGTTCCTGGAATGTCAACTTGGAGTCCAACCATACCCCTAAGGATTTGCTTCCGCTTGCAGAAAGAGGCACTCCATCCATCGAAATGTTGAGGATACGCTCCACCTTCCTTTTCCTGGTGAAGATGACCATCTCCACCTTGCCAGGATTGACAGCTAACTTGCTGTCCGGACACCATTGTGAGAATCTTGCCAATGCCCCGTTCAGGAGCCCCTTCATCCTCCCCACGTCCGTCCCCTGTGTCATTATCACAAGGTCGTCTGCATATGCATGAGCATAGATCCCAAGTTCTTCCCTCAGAATATGCAATATCTCGTTCACCACTAGGCAGCACAGGAAGGGGGACACCCCGTCATGAGCCGATGGAGACCTGCTCCCCACTCAGTCTTGCCTCAACCCTCCGGTCGGTTAGTATGGAGCGGATCGATTTTACAATGCCCGTCCCCACTCGAGTACGCTCCACTGCCCTGCAGATCGAATACAGGGTCGTGTTATTGAAGGCTCCTTCGATGTCAGCGAACACACACACCGACAGCGGTCCCGAGCCCATACCCTCTTCCAACCTGGGAGTGTGTGTCTCCACAGCTCGGGCACGTATTCCCTCGCAATGGAGGCTCTGAATAGATCCATCAGCGGGTTGGTCAGGAGACCTCCGTCCCTTTGCAGCAGAAGAGCTCCACTAAGGAGTCTTTCCAGCCCTATGATCCTCAGTCTCAGGGCAGCTTTTCTGGAAGCCCGTATCATAGCGGAACTGACGCGGTCGGCGGCCTCGTCAAACTGCTCCGGTCTTTTCTTGGTAAATCCCCTAGGCGCCAAGCGAGCTCCTCCCTATAGAGTTCCCAGTTTGTTGCCCGGGGTTCCTAAATCTAACAGGTTCCCGAACACCTATTTCCAACCCAAAGGTGATGTGTATGTGAGATAGAGTCCTCCCCACAGGCACTCCACCCAGTTACTTCCGGGAGCAGAGTCCTGGTACAGAGTGTCAAGTCTATAACCGAGCTCCCGTTGTGAAAAACGTGGGTTCATGGCCCTGCCGAGGCCATGAACTCCACGAGGTCTCCCCACAGAGTTCGGTGAGTATTGCTATCGCAGCCAATCAAAAAAGGAAGATTCACCTCCTCACAGTAGGAGACCAAGTCATTGCTCTCCTCCGCAGGACAGTTGCGGTCGCCTGGAAAGTATGCATAGGCAGTACTCCCTCCCTCACGTTGTCCCGAGTGCGGTGTCTGATCTGAATTGGAACCAGGTCCCTGAATGCCTTGTCCCTTAGGAAAAAGGCCTCTAGCCCCATAGTATGCAGGCCCTGGGACCGCCCCCTGGCATTATGCAGCATCGACCATCCCCGAGATAAGCCCCTAACCCTTGATTTTACAATCCACGGCTCTTGAATCAGTACAATGGATGCACCGCCCTCCGAAATTTTCCTGCATAAGTGGGTTGTTGCAGCACGGCTGTGTTGCAGGTTAATTTGTAGTATCCCCGTGAAGATATTCCGCTTCCGCTTCCTGACTGGTGAACGCTGATGGGATCTCCCGGTCCACCTCCATCCGAGATTCCTCCTCGATTCTCCCTTCCTCAGAGGGCCCTCCGGAGGTCTCCTCTACAGAAACCGTGAGCGCTGCCTCTACGAGAGGCCTATCCACCTCCATGGACGAGCACTCGTCGTGTGAGCCTCCCGCGGCCACCTCATCACCCTGCGGCCTCGGCGCCGCCAGGTTCACTTCAACCTGGGTCGCCAGGCAGAAGAGAAGTGAGCCCTTAGTCGCGATGGCGCTTGCCGATTTTTCACCCCCAACCTTGTGCCCCTTGCGTCCTCCGTATTCTGCCAGACCCTCCAACCCTCCAGGCACGGCAATCTCAGCCATTCTGAGCTGCCAGGCAGCGCACTAGTACCTTGTTCGAGACACCCGCTCTTCGAAGCCTCAATCCTTCTGGTTCCGGAACCGTCACCGTGAGTCTCTTCTTCGCCCTCCTTTTTTCCGCCCCACTCCTGTGTCTGGGGCGGTGTGTCGACGAGGTCGACGAGGTTTATACCGAGCCCTCCACCCCGCTCGCGACCTGGGGATCCTCCTCAGATCGCCCTTGTAGGGGACCTTCCTGAGAACGCTCCTGCTTGCTGGAGCCCTTCCGGGGCCCCTTCTCCTTAACTTTTTCGTTATCAGGTTCCACATAGGTCCCACGAGCGGTTGCTGACCTTCTACAGGAGGGGCGGCATTCTGGACGCCCTCTAGAGCGGCCTGGGGGCACAACGGGCCCATCTGGTGGCCTAAGTGCTTGGACGCCCGCGAGGGCGCCCCCCTTTACCAATACCAATAGGTCCCACGAGCAGTTAGGGAAAAAATGGTCTACCTCTGCAGAGCCCCGCGTGCAGAGGTAAGGCTTCCTTCCCCGAGATGCGGCCGGTGCCTCGGGGTTGGGATCGGGTATTGAGGTTTCCACTAGTTGAAAAAATCCTTTTTGTCTTGAATAATTTACATTTTATTTGATATACCATTTGAATTTATAAAACCAGAAAACCTTAAGCTGATTACAATATTTAAAACTAGTGGATACATTTTCTATGAACATACCTTTCAGCTTGAACATCGTGAACCTCAGCAAAAGAAAAACTTTCGGTGTTTTGTATGTAAGATGTCACCATAAACATATCCACTAAAGGTAAATTTATCACACTGACCTTGCGTTGTGGTTCTCTAATGGGTTCTCTATGCTACCGTCCGGATGGCGCGTAGTCTTACGAGCGAACTGATCTCACAACCGGGCGCACCTAATGACAGCGCATTTCAAAGATGATTTAAATTTTACAATTTTTGATTGCTTATAATTGTTAAATAGAACTACGAAATTATTTTTTTCTGAACTGTGGTTCTTTTAATATTATAAACTTACTTTTATAAGCAATACTTTTCAAATTAAAATTTTGTTCAAGTTCCCTTTTCCGGGGTGGAGGGTGATTTTATTTTTACTCCTTTAAATGTCGGTTCACGAAGTTTCAATTATTCCGCAGAATTGAGCTCATGTACCGAAGAGATGTGCATCGATGTGACGAGCGGCACTGCCTCCATTACTTCGGGAAGAAGCAACATGTGTACCTGCAAATGTTTACCTCGTTTCCCGGCGTTCAGGGAAGATCTGCAGTTATGCGTAGACGACATCCACGGTAAGAAAAATTGAAATGTTTTAAATAAGACCTCGATAATTTTTGATTGGTTAAGAAAAAATAAGTCTTTGCGGAACCCGCGATTTTTGCAATAACTTGACCAAAGTTTGAATGCTTGTAGTTTGAACCATATTACTTATTTCAAGTTGAGTTTCCATTGCTTTCGTTCGTCGCATTGTTTATCTCTCAGGTCTCTGGAGCTCATAGCTTTTTTTACACCTTCCGCCCATGTCTTTGGTCTCCTTCGTTTCTTTGGCAAAGAATGAATAAAAATAAAGAACTCTTAAAGACCATCAAGGAACATAACTTGAATATTTGGGGCACTTCATAAGAAATGAAAAATCTCGAATACTCCCACTTATAACACAAGGAAAACTAGGCGCAGAATGTTATGGTTACCCAACCTTCGGCAATGGACAGGAAAAACATAATGAATTTATTTAAGAAAAGTATAAATTTTAATGATAATACAGTACTTTACACTATTATTCCGCTACACGTAAAGTCGTACCTAGATTAAATACTGATTAATAATTTTTTTTTTTTAGAATGACGTTAGAACATTTTTAATTTAGTTTCTTACTTGTTCACATTTTTACGTAATTCATTTATTTTTCAGGGACACTTATTAAAACTTATTTTAACAACACCGACAATGTGTATTATTGAAGAAAAACATAAAACAGTTCTAATTTTAACCTTGAATTATGATAATGTATATGTAATTACAAAAACAATATTACAAAAAGATAATCATAAATATTTTAGAGAAAAGGGGTAAAAACGAAGATGAGATATTGATATTTGAGTACTTTGAGTATTAAGAATTTTGAAAAGAAGTGAAGCCATTGCGACATTAAAACAATTCATAGATGATAATAATTGCGTAGATAATAATAATTATATGCTTGTACTTACCACTAGCAATAGGATCCATACTATAATTTTATTATTTTTCAATCACCAACTTTCGAAAAAATGGTTAAATACACACTGATGTACTCTGATTAAATGAACACAAATTAATAAACTTTCAAGTTTCAATAACAATATGGCGCGTAGAAACACGAATCAAAACAAAAGTTTGTTTAATTATAATAGCCAGGTAACTAGATTACTGAAATGATTTAGCTCAAGATTTTTAAGTTGGAGTTTCTGACTTCTGGCCAGCTTTTGAGGAAAATTCGCCTGTGGGCGGCAGTAGACAAAGTTAGATGGATCTGGTCAGCAGATCATAAGGCACTAGAAGAAGAAGAAGAAGTAGTCAGGAGATTATTCTACGGTGGATAGAATAATTTTTCCCAACATTTGCTGTTTGTTTTTTTCAATTTGTAGTTTATTTTGAAAATTGAATGGCAGCTATGACTACAATAAATGCTATTTACCGGGCCGACCGGGGATTTGGAAAAATTCTAAATGAAACTTTTCCTGATTTGTGTAAGGCCAAATTCCATTTATTGAAATAACTTTCTTTTCGGGATAACCTAGTATTTCAAAGCAATCACTTTTTGCAATATTTTGGAAATAACTTTTTGAACAACAGTTAAAAAACAAGTTCACCGGAAGCTGCCCAAATTGGAAATCGCTGCGTCAAACCATTTAACTGTTATATAGTGAAGTTTGTTGTGTCACTCGGTATATTCTTTAAATTCTCACATCGTTTAATCTGCATCACCATCATCATCATCTCCAACATCATATTATCCGAATATGCTTAATCGTGAAATGACTCCAAGCCACCGCATTACCGTTCAAACGAGTCCATTCGCTTTTTCCATGCTTCGGCCAACTGAAAAATTATTTAATTGCGAAATTGTTTCCCATCGTTATTAATTAGGAGCTATTACATATTATTTTAATTGCGTAGTTTGTTACGAAATATTGGAATAAATAACAAAAAAATAACGAACTAGGTTGACCTCTAAATAATATGGTTAACTGACATCTGCATTTGGTAAGATTTGCACCTGATATGAGAACAATAAGTTTTATAGCTTTTTTCAGACAGACGTACCAGAATAACTTTCGACAATTGAACTAAATGGAAATGACCATGAGGATGCACCTGCGAATTTATTTCGATGTCACCCGGATAGAAAATATTTATTATACAGGTCGAAGTATTATTAGTGTAGAAAGTTATTTTTAGAACGTGGAAAAATCCTTTACATTTTTGTTTAGTGTTTCAGTTTTTTTCATAATTTGTTTGTTTTTGGCATAATTTTGGCAATTAATGCAAAATTGAAACAACCTTTATAAAAGTGCCGAATTATTGGTAAACGTAAAAGAAATTATAGGCAACAAATGCAATGCGTGGATTATTATTTCGCTATATCAGCCCTCAAACAATAGTTTTTCTCTATCTAAATCGTAATTTATTGCAACTATTTTTAAGCAATTTGAAAATAAAAAAATATCTCGGAAATCGGTGTAACTAAATAATTAAAGTCTAGTTCACAAATATGTAAAGTAATAAAACCGCATTACCTGTTTCGGAAATATTTAGAAAAAAACATTTTCAAGTAAATTTATTTTATCAAGAGTTTCAAGAGTTTATGCTTCTCAAGTATTTTCGTCGGCAGCAAACAACTTCATAGCTATTCTGAAACACCCAATAAATTGTTATTTCAAAAAGTTCGCAATGCTAACCAATATATTGTTTTCTATAAAACTAATAAACTTTTGCAGCGAACCGCAGTTCGACGAGTGTTACCATTCCATCGAGGAAAGAAAGCGATCTGCGTACAATATGTTTTTATCGGAAATACCAATTAAAACAATTAAAATAAACTCCGTTAATGTATGCTAAACAGGAACGCGATTTTATATAAATCTCATAGATCAGTTCGTTCTGAATGAAAGCAAAATTTACAAACACGTAGTTAAATTCGTATTCGTTTTCTTTTAATCTGCGGAGAGAAATTTCTACTCCGTTGAATTAATACCTAATTAAAAATCACCAAATTTTAACTAACAAGGTGATGTTTAATATGATTTTTTTTCAAAAGAATTAAAAGAGGGTGTTTGTTTTGCATAACACGAAAAATCTTTTGCGCAATGAAACTCATCGGCAAAGTGGAAATTGAAAACTAAAAAGAATACAAACGCAAATAATATAAAAGACGCGAAACTTCTTTCATTCTTTATGTTATTCGCCAAAATTTTCAAACAATGGAAAAACGGAATTTGGCTGTTTCCATTTCTTACCAAGAAATTTAGAAATAGCACACGTATTGATTCACGGATAAAAAAATGTGATGCTCGCGCTCCGAAAACACTTCGAACACTGTTAACACTTGGTGGCCGTAAAGTGTTCGAAGTGTTTTCGGAGCGCGAGCATTGAAGATGCCAAGTGAGATTTTGGCGAAACGTCTGCAGGATTCCAGTCGGAGTTCAACAAGCGAACGGATGATATCCCGGAATATAGTGTCATCATATATATATATATATATATATATATATATATATATATATATATATATATATATATATATATATATATATATATATATATATATATATATATATATATATATATATATATATATATATATATATATATATATATATATATATATATATATATATAGGGTTTTTCACTTAAAACTCCGCACGCCAATAAGTCCAATACGAAAAGAAATATTTAATTTATGTAAAAAGTAGTCAAAATGTGGGGTCAAGTAGATATTTCCTAAAGTTTAAAAAATTCGACGCCTGCAAAGAGCTGGGCGTCGCGACGCGTCGAAAAATTATTCGATTGCAGAGACTTTGGAAATACGCGCATACAAAAGTACATATTGTTTTAAAACTTTTTTGTTATTTACTCAAACTTATTTACTTTACCCGTTTCTAAGTTATACCGATTTAAAGTAAACATTTCTTGATTAATAAAAAATGTGATTAACGCTTACTTTTACAAGTATGCCATAAATGTTAGTTACTATGGCAACCATTGTTATCGCAGTTGTTTTAAGTGCAATTACAAACGTAAGTTGTTATTGCTGTATCAAAAAATTGTCACATTTTGTCACAAGAAATATCCAAATTTGTTCGGTTTAAAAAAAACTAAGAATTATTATGTGAAAATGGTGCAATTTAGCCATGAGGAAAAAGTAGACATGTTACTGGTGTTTGGAGAATGCAGATGCAATTGTAGAGAAGCAAAAAGAGTTTACGCACGGCGTTATCCGCATAGAAGAGTCCCCGATGCAAAAACCTTTTCAAGTTTATGTAAAAACTTAAGAGAATATGGCAGCTTCATAAAACCTAAAAGAGATAGGAACAGGACGGCTACAAATGATGAAAATACTGCTGCTGTAATTCAGCAGGTTGATAATAACCCCAAGATATCCCTATCAGAGATAAAAGAAAATACCGGTGTTACCATAAGTTCTTCGTGGAGAATTCTACATAGAAACTCTTTTCACCCGTACAAAAGTAAACTAGTTCATAGCCATAGTCATTAGCCAAAACGGTAAGTCAGAGACCCGTACTATGTTATATAATTGAAATTGCTATTAAAGTGGCTATTCGAAAATCCAATAATATACAGGGTTTCCCATTTAAGAAAATTGAGAAAACCATTATTTTGCGAAACTTGGCAACACCGCGTATTTAAAGAAAATATTTTAAACTTGATCATTGCCTCAAGAAAAGCATTACTTTCCTAAAAATAATAGATGGAAAAAAGTTTAAAAAGTTAATAAGCAACCCAACAATGATGGTTTAAGCATCACCCGATCTGAAGATGATCACTAATAAGTTCGAAACTGTACATCACAGACCCATACTCATATATATCGTTGACTTTGTCTTTGAAAGGACTATCCATAAATGTAGGGTGTTCTATTTAAACAATGTAACCTTGTTTTACCACCCTGTATATAAAAAAATGACGATTAGGAAAATAAAAAAAATAAACGTCATTTAAATAGAAACAACTTTTATATTTAATTTTTTGTGTAATCACCATAGGTTTCGAGATATGCAATAATAGTTAA